GTCATTCATTTTAGGCAATGCTGAATGAAGAGAAGCTCCTTGAAAAACTCGATCTCTACGAGAATCAAATACGTATTTTTAAGGAGGTAACGTAATCATTTCCATTTAAAAAAACTACTCCTACAGGATCTGCCAGAGGACTCTCTTAAGGCCCGCCTCTCAGAGGCCTTTGAAGCGAAGAGCCTTCAAGAGAACGCCTACAAAGCCAAGTTAAATGAGCTGCTGGATGAAAAGAGTGAATCTCTTCAAAAAGTCCAAGAATTAGAGGTAGGATTCTGAAAATGGCCATGTATACGTTGTTCTACTCCTTTGATTTATACCTTTTCATCTGTGGACGCGTTTTCTAATAGCATCACCCGGGGACTGAACTTGCTTCAACCTCGGATTAGCAAACTTAAGGTAACCGGCTTAGAGGTTACTTAGGAACACTGCCAACGTGCAACTCGCCACAAAAATAAATCCTTTTATGAACCCTGACAGACCCACCAGGTGGGCCACTGCGCAGTTTCTTCTGTGCGCATCACCTCTCAACCAACCAACCGGCCATACTGGAGCCCGTTTTGTCGTATTGTATTGTTGCGATTATACTAAAGAACAGCCAAACTTTAGACGGTGGCTTTATCACGCCGGCCACTTCGCTCAGTTTCTTCCACTCATCCTGACGTTTGGAGCATGTGAAAGAGGTGTGAGGGCGCACAGACTCTTTCACTGGACGCTCCTCAAGTGCTCATGATGAAGGTAGTCCTAACGGCTGCCAACCGAGAGTTATCTGGTTCTCCTTTCGGACTGAGTTTTGTGCTGAAATCGCCCCATATAGGACTATTATGGTAACATCCTATGATGAGAGATCGGGGGACTGAATTCTCGATTTTGATTGGTGTGCGTTTAGGCACCAACGCGTGTGGCACATGTAGGCGTAAACTCACCAACTACGCCCCCTCCAACCGGCAGCGGTTGTCATATCCGCTTTGAATTAAAACAAACTAGGGTGGTTGATCCTGTGCATGCCCTCTTCGTGAACTGCCAGGTGCTGTCGGAACAACGATAGCCTTTGTCGCTTGCCGATTTTGACCTCTCATCTATGTACTTCTATACACGGCTGTGCTCATGCCTGATATAGTCGGCGTAGATGATGTCACGGCTTGCATCTGTACGCGTGACGGTCTGAGGCAGAAGATGTAGACATTTTTTTCGTCGACGTAGACCGGATGCCGAGCGAGGTTTTGAATTCATCCCCACTTGAACGCTTCCAGTTGGGTGACGGTGCGGCTTCGAGGACAGTAACACTAAGCTCGTAAGGCGAACGACGAAAAACCTACCCAAATCACCTCAGTTGTCTTCCTTGGATGGCCTGGGGCATCCTTGCAATGTCACAGCGAGCGCATACTGTCCCATTTTAGACGAAGTCAGTGTACTTCACTCCACAGATGGTCTCCAAGCCGTGGTAGTCAAATATCCCCAGTTTTCGCTCATTTTTCACGCACACAAATCATCATTCATGATTATAGGGAAGGACAGGCTGGACAGCTGCATGCTATACGCCAATCTTAGTGATGATGATGTCGCGCCGTACCCATGGGCACTTTCCGTATTATTCAAAAATGACCTTGACAGAAAATATGCAAAAGGAAGAGTGACCTCTTCCGAAATGTGAAATTTGTGGTAATTAGTTTCTGTCCCTCTGTTTCCATTTGTCAGAATCGAATTTTCATAGTGCATTTCGCATGCTCTTTTCGCATGAATTACAAAGTGCAAACTATCACAGTGTTGGACTGCTAGTTCCTCTCACTCGGCAGAGGAATAATGAATTTGCAGGAGATTGTCCACTTTGTTTTCAAACCCCAACACCTCTTCTGGCTTTTTCAATGAACCATGCGCATGCCCTTTTTTCACTGC